TCGGTCTTCAAACCTTCATTATTACATATCACATCTGTAACGGTCTTAATAATGTTAAATGATTCACCTCCAGTAAACGCATTAACATCTATTTCATTGTCAACCTTAGTATCGCAGTTTTTGGTCTTCAATATATCTTTCCCGATATTAATACCATGATTTACAATATTGTTCAGTACAACTTCGCTATTTGTAATATTCTTGCAGCGTTCAATAATAGTCTTTACGAGTTTTGATCGTTTTAATAGGTTTCCAATATTAAGTGATACACCTCCAAAAGACGTGTTTATGCCCATTTCGTATCCGAGTTTAATACCGAAGCCTGCAAATTTAATTTCGAAACATTGTTTGCTTATTGATATACCTGTAGATGTACTAATTCCTAAATTTGTTTTTAAACCGGATCCATTAAATTCTAATATATTAAATGTTGCTTCAAATCCAGCTTTTAATCCATTAAATCCTGATACATTAAATGTTGTTTCAAATCCAGCTTTTTCGCCTATCGTAACACCAATTGATACATCTACACTAAGGAATTTAACAATATCGCCTTTATAATTATATGCTGAAGAACTAAACTTAAAGCCATTAAATCTAAATGAGGATATAGATTTCATTATTTCATGATTACCCTTTTGATATGGTGTTTTTTCAATTTTACATTCGCTCTTTAAGATTTCTGAGATTGAAGAAATATCCATTATAACCGAATTGTTGAGTTTTATTGTTTAATAATGAAATTGAATTGTTGAGGTTTATTGTTTAGTAATGAAATTGAATTTTTGAATTTTTTGAATTTTTTGACGAAAGAATTGGCGAATTTTAGGTATTAAATACTTTACAAGTTCATAGGTGACATATAAACAAATATAAAGTTTTTATTTCGTTTCACAAGAAGAGAGTATTATTCCGTTTAATAGAACTATTCGCTTATTTCATGCATTGAAAATAACTGATAAGGTAGTGATACTTATTATTCTCTTCAAAAAAGAACGAAAAGATCTTCTATGCATAGACATTTACATCTTGACATCATTGTCTTAATGAATGCGATTGTAATACTTCTTTGATGCTTGAATTACATATTGGTTACCATAGAGCGAAAGTCGAAAGTTTCATTTGATGAAACATTTCTAATTTTAAAAAAAGTTTTTCCTGAAATATTAAATCATCGTGACTATGTCGCTTAACTTAATGTAAAATTCGCTATAATTTGTTTACTTGATTGATGATCGTAGCTTTTTTCTAAACAAAGGTTATCATCATAATTATCTAGAAATCATATATGCGCTCACTATTTTTGGTTTTTATTATCACCTTTAAGCGATTATCTATTTTAAGCGACATTAAATGAGAGATGAAAGTAATGTTAGTGGTTATCTCGCGGGATTCGATTTTCCGGTGCCTACCATTTAACATTAAATAGCAATATCGGAAATTGAATTCCATAAGGTGTAAACTTAAAAATTTTTTTTTACGTAGCATAACTTAAATTTACAAGTTCGGCAAATTCCAACCACTATTCGGCCGTAATAATAACTGCACCACTTTTCGGCCGAATTATGTAGTGGCTGATGCTAAAAAGAACGTGATATGCATTGTACAGTAAATCTTATTTCCACCAAATAGAAAAACTCATACAGGGTGAACAGGAGGGACCGTCCCGAGTATGCCCCGAGTTTGCAGATCGTTACACAAGCGATTCAATTGATTTAAAGTTTTT